TCACCTTTTTTTTTTTTTTTTTGCCCTTGTTACGTTAGCGACAGGGCCTTTCACTCAGCGCGGCACCTCCACCCCTCCCATCCTCCACATGTCGACTGACTCGACTCGCTGCCCCCTCTTTCCTCCTTCCTTTCTCCCTCCTCCTTCCTCCCTTTCTCCCTCCTCCTTCCTCCCTTTCTCCCTCCTCCTCTCTCCCTTCTTCCTCGTCCATCTCTCCCTCCTCCCTCCCTCCTCCTCTCCCTTCTTTCGTCGTCTATCTGTACCTCTCTCCTTCCTCACTTTCTCCCCCCTCCACGCAGCACCTCACTTCTCCCTCCTCTTTCCAATCACCTTTTTTTATTTTTTTTGCCCTTGTTACGTTAGCGACACGGCCTTCCACTCCGCGTGACACCTCCACCCCTCCCATCGTGCACGCGTCGACTGACTCGACTCGCTGCCCCCTCTTTCCTCCGTTTCTCCCTCCCGCTTCCTCCCTTCATCCCTCCTCCTTCCTCCCTTCTTCTTCGTCCATCTCCTCCCTTTCTCCCTCCTCCTTTCTCCCTTCTTCTTCATCCATCTGTCCCTCCTCCTTCCTCCCTCTCTCTCCATACATCTGTCCTTCGAACACTTCACCATCCAGTCACCTTTTTTTTTTTTTTTTGCCCTTGTTACGTTAGCGACACAGCCTTCCACTCCGCGCGACACCTCCACCCCTCCCATCGTGCACGCGTCGACTGACTCGACTCGCTGCCCCCTCTTTCCTCCTTTTCTCCCTCCTCTCCCTTCTTCCTCGTCCATCTCTCCCTCCTCCTCCCTCCCTCCTCTCCCCTCTTTTGTCATCTATCTCTACCTCTCTCCGTCCTCCCTTTCTCCCTCCTTTCTGCCACCTCCTTCCTCCCTTTCTCCCTCCTCCACACAGCACCTCACTTCTCCCGCCTCTTTCATCCTCCCTTTCTCCCTCCACATGTCGACTCGCTACTCCCTCTTTACTCCTCCCTTTCTTTCTCCCTCCTCCTTCCTCCCTTCTTCTTCGTCCATCTCTCCCTCCTCCCTTTCTCCCTTCTTCTTCATCCATCTGTCCCTCCTCCTTCCTCAATCTCTCTCCATCCATCTCTCCTTCTTCCAGAAGTTATAGTTGCCATCCGTTCCAAATTACAAATCTCAATTTGGCATTTGCAGTTTCTTTTTTTTCCTACTCCTTTCGGAATGTTGTTTCCACAATTCGATTTGCTCGTCGTGTTTTTTTATTTTTATTTTTATTTTTTTCAAGTGCCCGCTGGAATGTTGCATAGCCGAGGGGGATTAGAGGAGAGAGTGGTGGATCTGGACGAGGGGAGAGGGTTTTCCTTCGAGGGGATGACCACCATTTTCTGTTGTGGCCTTCTCGGTGATGCAGGTGACAGCGGCGGCCGCTCTGTCAAAGCAGCTCATTGACGACATGAAGAGAGAGAGAGAGATGATAAGGAGGGAGGGATGACCACCATTTTTGTTTGTTGAAATTTCTAAGAATGTTTAAATTGAGAGAGAGAAAGAGAGGGAACCTTTCCGATGAATCGAAGTTCAAACGGGTGGTGGAAGCATCCCAAAAAAAAAAAAAAAAAAAAAAAAAAGGCAGCGCATCTGGCGCACCACCCTAGTGCATGGCCCACAGGTGTGCGTGCATCAGTGCATGGCGCATGAGTAGCGCATATAGTGCACCTATACCCCATGCGCGTGGTGCGGGCGCACCAGCCATGTGCGCATGGCGCAGCACACAAATGCGCCGCAAGTATGCAATAAAGATGATAATGACAAAGAGAACGAGAATTGTGAAGACGAAAACCATGTCTGATAACCATGATCACAATAGCGATAACCACATTCAGGACAACGATGATGATGAATCCAATGGAGCTCATGACGATGATGACAAAACAATGGTAATGATGATAAAATGACGATGTCGACAATTACACTAACAGTCTAACACTAATGGCCTCCAGAAGATTCAAGGAGACCTCTGCTGGCAGAAAAAGGGAAACAAAAAAAAGTGTGGCCGAACAACTAAGAAACGGCAGGGCTCATGGTAACTGGGAAAGCCGTCAAAAGTAGTGGTGTCATATCTGGAATATACTGAAATGTCCAAGCATCAGCTGCACACATTCTACAAAATACAAGTGTGGTCAATCCGCGGGGAAGGAAGTGTCAGAATGACCGTAACAGTCATTCGCCTCCACCTTCCATTCTTTGCAAGCACTTGTTCCTAAAAAAGTTGCAAAAGCTAATCAATCCTAATAAACAGTAGTTCCTGAAGGTAGACCACGATGAACGATGACTTAGTCAACAGGGTAGACAGCAGTCAAACCTGTCTGAAGATCCAAACTGCAAACTCCATTCCAGCCTGCTTCAGCTTGATAGTTGTGTTTGCACCTAGAGGACATAGAGGAGGGGATGTCAGTAAACTGAGAGCTTGAAACTCCCTCCACCTTCCGCCTGAGTGAAACCATTAACTTCACACCTGGAATACACATGTGCACACACACACACACACACACACACACACACACACACACACGCACACACTCTCACACACTGTGCAAGCGGGCTGTTATGGCACACGGGGATGTGGGCAGCTCGCACTCAACCACAATCAACGTGGCAAGCCTCGTACATGAGAGGCACAGTAAAAGGTGAGTTGCAAGAACAAATGAAAGGGGTACCCAAAAAAGCCAAAAAAAAAAATCAACACAGTTAAGAAAGGGGTTTAAAGTTTAAACGCTTCTATTATGCCCCATGTTGCTTGCTATAGAGATAAAACTGTTTCATTGTTGGATTGTCTCTACCCAAAAGTTTTCGTTGTCTGCAATAGGACTAACGCTGATTCCATTTTGGACCTTTTGGATCTGTTGTGGTGAAAATTCGAAACACACACACACACACACTGTTGCATGCTGCACCTGCACACGGGCCCCATTTGAGGGGCCCAACGGTTGCTGAGGGGCCCCCAGGCCGCATACCATACAGCACGTGCCCTGGAGGCCCACGGCGGCCCTTCAGGCCCTAGGTAGCATACTAGTTAGATAGGTTAGTTTTACTTACCTTTTTTGTGTGTGTGTGCTGTCTTATTTTGTCTGTTCAGATGCCGTTTCGGACTTGCAGCCCCAAGGCCGGACCTATGGACTGGGCACACCGGAGGCAGCGCATTTTGGCGCCAGACTGGTAGGTGCAGGCGTCGTTTCGGTCCTGCAGGTCCCAAGGCGACGCCTTGGGCTAGGTACACAGGTACCAGGCCATTTTTAGGCCAGGCGCATTTCTGTGCCTTGCTGCATCAGCAGCATGGTCTGGACGTCCGGTAGGGACCCAGACCAGCCGGGCCGTTTTCTGAGGCCGACATCAGGTAGGCCCAGCCGCCCAGCGCTACAAATAGCTGGGCAGCGTCTGGGCAAGGGAGTTAGAGTGGCTCACTTCTGAGCGATACGCTGCTGGTTGGAGGCAGCGTTATTTTGCGCTACACTACGGAGTAGGGAGTAGAGGCGTAGGAGGTAGCGAGAGGCAGAGGCCTTACTGCAAGCGGCGAACTTACCTGGCGCAATAGCTGGGCTCCACGCGGTACCTGCACACGACAACGACCACAGTCAGTACGGTGACAGCTACCTGCAGGTGAGATAGCAAGGAGGACGTCATCTTCTTCTTCTTCCTCCTCCATCTCTCTCTCTCCCTCCTTCTCCCTCCTTCCTCCTCTTTCTTATCTTCTTCTTCATATACGAGAGTAGGAGAGGTTATCAGTAGGTGATACAGGCAGAGGTTATGCTGGGCACACTGCCCAGGATCTGATTCAACATTTCTGGGACAGATATTGATTGGACACTCGGCAAGGGACTATTTTTGGGACTTCGCTATTGCGATCGTGGTCTACTCCCTCGCCTCCTGCTCCTTCGTCTCCTCCCTTTCCCCCCATCTCTCATCCGTGGTATCTCCCCATGTATGTGTGTGAAGGAGGGACCTTTCTTCTGTGATTGCGGTCTCTCCTCCCCTCTCACATGTGTGATGTATGATGGATGTCGGGTCAGTCCAGATCAGATCAGACCTTCTCTTTAAGTCTTCCACTACGCCACTTTGTGCCATCTTGTATATATCGGAATGTACATTGCTTGTTGATGTTACGCTGACCCTGCATTGTCCATTTCAGTCCTTTTCATCACATCGCGGATCCTTGGCTCCCTACGCATTGTCCCATTGGGCATGCGTCACACACACACACACACACACACACACACACACACACATTCTTCACACCTGGAACAGACGCACACACACAGCAAGCGGGTGACATCTGAATACATATCACAAGATTGTCTTCCATCTGAAACAGTGAGGGTAAATTTTACCATCCATGACCTAGGTTAGGGGCATTTGTGATCTAAAACAGTGCGAGTTTTAAGCTGACATGAGACCTTATTGCATACGTTGAAACAGTGCAGGTAAATACCATTCAGGCCCAGTAATGTTAGGGGCTGCACACTGAAATGGATAGTGGGCACTCACCATAGACACAGTCAAACACCACATGAAGGGTGGCTGGAAACTGGTTGGCCGCTGCAATCGACCGGGTAAATACGGACATGAGTCGTGTCTTCAATGGTACACTTGCTGGAGCAACTTTCACGTCATCCGCACAAGTGACATTTGCCGGAGTACCTGAAGACCGTTCAGCATGACGGGCCAAACACAGAACTGTTAATCAAAGAACTTTCACACGATTTGCTTAATACACCTTCAACACATGGTCAGTTTCAAACTCCAATCCATCGCTTGAAAATGAGGAACTTCTTTTTCCCTTTCATTTTTCTTTCCCTTTTTGCTGAATCAAGTCTTCACCAGCAATGGGCAGCATAGTTAATTGGCACGTTCCCACGTTCAAATGAACCACGTACTGACGTGTCTTGATCATGACACCAGCAGCCATTTGCAAGGAAAATGAGCGATAGCGAACTTCAGAAACCAAGCAGCATGATACACATGACACCAGATAGTCGTGACCTCGAACCACAAGCAGAATTGCAACACGAGTTCCACCAAATAAGAGTACAGCAAAAGCTCATAAGTGACAATGTTGGAATATTCTTATCATCATCAACAAAGAACCAATGTCGACATCCTATCTGGCGCTCGGCGCCCAGACTACAAATGGCAGATCCTATCTAGCCTATCTACAATGCCGCTGGCGACGTCAACAGCTCCCCGAAGTATGAGCAGATCTCAGCCAACGCTGTTCGCCTCAAGCACCAGGTATGTCTCTCGTATCACTCACAACCTCGGCCCCCCACTCACATGTTATGATTCTGGTTGTCTGTTGTCTGAAGACCAACACTCACTCACATAGACTTCCAGGTATGCCCATGCATACACAAAAGAAAGGGGAGAGGAGAGGAGTATCACACCACACAGGGAGAGATAAACACAGCGGAAGACTTGACCATGCGATATGACAGGGTACACTGAAAGTGCAATTCACTCCACTCAATCCTCACAACCAGTCATAAAGGAAAGCCGAGTAGATCACATCCAAGAAACAATGAAACGATGATAGTCTGGACACAGTATCAACACTGTTCATTAAACTCAGAGTCTCAAATTGTCAGAATAACCACAGTACAATGGTGCGCTGCTCAGAAATAAGCAGCGCTTCACTCCCCAACCCTGATGAACCGCTATCACCACCCCTGCGTCCCTGAAACATCAAGCGCCACCCTGAAACAGGCCTCTGAGGCCAAGCGCCACTCAGAGGATGAAGAAGAAGACCAGCGCCACAGTATCTGATGATGACGAAGTGTCGGAAGATTTCCCGGGTGGAAGTCTGCAGCAGCGCCACCACTCCTGACAAGATGAACACTGAGGAAGAAGCTGCAGCTACGGCTGCAGCGCCACAACCCTGTAACCATACTCCGGAGGAAGGTCCAGCAGGGCACCACCACCACCACCTCTCGCCTCCAGCAGACCTCGAGTAGCCCAGACCTCTGTAGAGCCCCGCGTGCTGACAGAGTGCAGCACTGGTCCCAGCTATGGCCGGCGCTCCAGAGGTCTGGCTATGTCTGTCTCCCTCCACGCTGAGCCGTCACCACTTCCGGTTCACGCGTAGCACAGCAGCGATGTACTCAGTACCAACTCCCAAAAGCCCTGAACCAATGTGCCTAACCTATGTATAGTCTACTCTAGCCTAGACTCGACCTAGACCGGACTGACTGACCAACCGGTACAGTTTCTGTTTCGGCCTCTAGGGCCTCTCCAAACCCTGGCTATATAGGACCGTCTATCAGCTTACGCCCTTAGGGCCTGTCTGTCCTAGGGGTAGGCCGGGTCTGCTATTCGCAGTTAGGGTGGCTGTAGGAACTTCAGTTAGTACCGGCCTGTATTTTCCCAAATTTACAGATATGTCCCTCACGAATTTTCCTTACAGGCAGGTCTCTCGGTTAACCCTCAGCCAAACAAAATAACGAATCTAACCTACAGATAGTACAGCCTCGACAAGAGAGAGGCTACAGACGACCCGAAACCAGCAAGTCATTGCACACAGATGCCACTTGCACCCAAGGACCACCATGCGCCCCATCCAGCTATGCAGCACAGCTCCGCTATGGCTGCCTGCCTCTCCCTGCTCGCCCATAAGCGCGTGAGCCTGGCCAGTGTTTAGCGCAGCATGCAGCCAGTTCCCAAATGCCAAATGCGGGGGCAGGCACTTTCCTAAATGGAAGTGGCCTGCCTGCTGCGTGCAACCTGGCTGCACCGGGCCCCGGCCCAGAAGCTNTAAATGGAAGTGGCCTGCCTGCTGCGTGCAACCTGGCTGCACCGGGCCCCGGCCCAGAAGCTTCCGGTAGGCCCCGGGAGGCTGAGCCCCAGTCCGAACAAATCAGGCCCAGGGCCCGTGGCAGTTACTCGTGCCCAACTGTCTGCAGCCTGTGTTGGGTTCATCTCTGTATCTCGCCCAGGGCCTGCCTCAGATGCATTTCCTAAAAGCAGCCAGGGACTGGGCGCTTTCAACCAACTGGCGCTGCGCAACTGCCTGAATTTTCCCCAGTAGCAGGGTAGCCGAGAAAAGAGGCCTTCTGGCCTTGGTCGGGCCTGCCTTCACTTAGGGCGGCCGACTGTGCTGCTTGCAGGGTCAAAATGGGGCCCATTGGGGCCTCATGCCTCGCATTCCCTCCTCCATACTTCGACAATCCTCTGAGAAGTTCCATTACTCAATCTGGCACTTTCCCTTCTGCAGTAACTTCTCATAATGAGCAACAGCCTGTGCAGCGGTCTGCATCAGTTCCTCCCGAGTAAACCATCTGTCCTCCTTAGGATCAATGTGATGTCTGAACCAAACGCAGTACTGCACCTTCGGTTTAGGAGGACGTCCTCTGCCTATTGGTCTTGGGACTCGCATTTCCACATGGTCCACGATGCTCCATCCATGGTTGGGGGAAGCATTGAGCGTCGTGAGGGAAACTGATCTGTTTCCTTGAAAGGTGCAAGCTTAGTGGCCTGGAAAGCAGGATAAGTGTGAAGATGACCAGGAATCTGAACTACATACGACAGTCCATCAGGATCATCCCCGACGATATCTAGAACCTACCAGGGTCCAAAGTACTGTGGCCTGAGCTTGCGGGATATCCCGTGCTCTTGTCCCAGTTCTGAGGACTTGACCCAGACTCTGTCGCCTACCTGGAATGTGGATGGGCGGCAATGCTTGTTTTCAGACTCTATCATCGCCGCCTGCGCTTTGTGCGTCTGTTCTACTGCTTGCTGCATCAGGCGCTCGTATCGATATGCAAAGTTGCAAACTCTAATGTGCCTGGTGGCTGATTCTCAGGTAGTAGAAAGTCCAAGGGCAGTCTAGGTTTGAATGTCAGTAGCTGGCTGTTGGGGCTCACCCCTGTTGCACTGTGCACAGCGTTGTTGTACAGACTGGCGATGAGAGCAAGTTTCTCATCCCAGTCCACCTGATTGGGCTTGATATAATGCCTCAGCAAGTGTTGAACAGCGCGGTTCAGCTGCTCTGCTTGTCCATTTGCTTCTGGGTGGTTGCCTGAAATCATCTGCAGTTGTGTCCCCAGTTCTGCAGCTGCGGCCTTCCACAGTTCACTGGTGAATCGCACATCCCGGTCACTAATGATAGACTTTGGCAATCCGAAGTCCCTGACCCAGTTCTCTTTGAACAGCTTAATCACGTACTCGATCTTGGCTGTTGCAGGCATTGCAACTAACCTAGCATACTTGCTAAACCTATCCACAATGACATAGAGTCATAGACATCTCGCATTCCACTCTTGATGGTCACCAGCGTATCCATGAAGTCCATGGACAGGCTGTCACCAGGCCTTTCCGGTATCGGAAGGGGCTTAAGAAGCCCAAGAGGGACCTGTGTACATGGCTTGTCTCTCTGACATGCCTGACAAGTTTCCACGTACAGCTTAGCGTCTCTCATCATTGTGGGCCACCAGAACTGCTGCAGCAAGTTGGCTGCAGTCTTTTTATAGCCAAAATGTCATGTGGCATCGTGACACTCTCCTAAAATTAAACTACGCAAAGACTCCCGATTAGGCACACACAAGCGTTTATTCCCAGCCTTCTCAAGGAACAGCAGGCCGTTGACCAACTCAAACTCGGCAGAAGTCGCTTTGTCCTTCACCTCGAGTCTGTGTATGATTTCAGCCATAAACGGATCCTCGCGATAGGCTTCCACCAAAGAACGAGTAACATCGTCCGCAAGCCCAAACTCAGTGATCAGCGCACCAAGGAAGTCTGGCCTACGTGACAGCGCATCAGCGACTCTATTGTACTCTCCTTTGATGTACTGAGGTTCGAAGTCATACTGTTCAATGACTTCAATCCATCTTTTCAACGCATCTGAGAGCACCGGCTGGGTTCTCATCCACTTCAGGGTCTGATGATCAGTCCTCACGTAGAAGAACCTCCCAAGAAGGTAGTGCCTCCAGTGGGTTAACGCTTTACAAATCGCATAGAGCTACTTCTCATAGGTGGACTTAGCCAACTTCTGAGAGGGCATCTTTTTGGACATGTACTCAACAGGCCTCAAGTTTGGCCCCTCCTGCTGCGCGAGTACGGCGCCTAGGCCATATTGGCTAGCGTCCGTGGTTACTATAAACGGCTTGTCAGGATGCTTCAGAGCATGCTTCAGATGTCAGAGCATGCTTCAGATGTCTGAAAGCAGCTTCACACCTGTCTGTCCACTCCCTTGGGGTGTCAAGGTGGGTCAAGTACGTCAAAGGGGCGGCCACTACGCTATACTTCTTAACAAATTGTGGCAGTAGCCGGTCATCCCTAGGAAGGATCTCATCTCAGTCACAAACTGAGGACGCGGCCAGTCACGAATGCTGGCCCCTTCGTGTCATTGGGCTTCAATCCCTCCGCGGAAATCTCATGACCCGGGTACAAGACCTGGGTGCGGCCAAACTCGCGTTTCTCCCCATTGACCTTGAACTGGTGCTGTCGTAGAAGACTAAGAACTTTGTCTAAGTGACCAACGTGCTCCTCGACAGTCCTACTAAGGATAAGTATTTCATCGAGGTACACGATGATAGACTTGTCTAAGTAGTCATGAAAGATCCGGTTCATGGCATGCTGAAAGGTGCCAGGAGCATTGCAAAGGCCGAAAGGCATCACCACAAACTCGTACAGACCGTACCTGGTCTGAA